TGGGGTGAGAGTAAGCTCAGTGCTGAGCTGTTGAAAGCTGTGGAAAGAGCCGGATACAAGAAGCCCTCTCCAATTCAGATGGCAGCCATTCCACTAGGATTGCAGCAGCGAGACGTCATTGGGATTGCGGAGACTGGTTCCGGTAAGACTGCTGCTTTTGTTTTGGCCATGTTGTCTTATATTACTAGACTTCCTCCTATGAGTGAAGAGAACGAGGCTGAAGGGCCTTATGCTGTGGTCATGGCACCAACTCGCGAACTCGCACAGCAGATAGAAGATGAGACTGTCAAGTTTGCCCATTACTTGGGCATCAAAGTTGTTTCCATTGTTGGTGGACAGTCAATTGAGGAACAAGGGTTCAAAATTAGACAAGGGTGTGAGATTGTCATTGCTACACCAGGTCGTTTGATTGATTGCTTGGAGAGGCGTTATGCTGTGTTGAACCAGTGTAATTATGTCGTTCTTGATGAGGCTGACCGCATGATAGACATGGGTTTTGAGCCACAAGTTGTAGGTGTATTAGATGCCATGCCTTCAAGCAATTTGAAACCAGAGAATGAAGATGAGGAGCTCGATGAGAAGAAGATTTATAGAACCACTTACATGTTCAGTGCTACCATGCCACCAGCTGTAGAGCGGCTTGCTAGGAAGTACTTGAGGAATCCTGTTGTAGTCACCATTGGCACTGCTGGAAAGGCTACTGACTTAATATCACAACATGTGATGATGATGAAGGAATTGGAGAAATTTTCTAGATTGCAGAGATTACTTTGATGATCTTGGGGACAAGACTGCCATTGTATTTGTCAACACCAAAAAGAATGCTGATACTATTGCCAAGAATCTGGATAAAGCAGGCTATCGGGTCACGACTTTGCATGGAGGGAAATCTCAAGAACAGAGAGAATTTAGCTTAGAAGGCTTTAGAACTAAGAGATATAATGTTCTTGTTGCAACTGACGTTGCAGGGCGTGGTATTGATATACCCGATGTGGCTCATGTCATTAACTATGACATGCCTAATAATATAGAAATGTACACACATCGTATTGGACGAACAGGTCGTGCTGGAAAGAGTGGTGTAGCCACAACATTCTTGACTCTTCAGGATACTGATGTCTTTTATGATCTTAAGCAAATGCTTATTCAGAGCAATAGTCCTGTGCCTCCTGACCTAGCAAAGCATGAGGCCTCAAAATTCAAGCCTGGAACAATTCCTGACAGACCTCCTAGGCGCAACGACACTGTTTTTGCCCATTGAGAAATTCAAGATTTTGAAGGAGATGTCTAATGAAGCTTAAAGCATTTTGATTTTTCCAGTAATTTGTTATTTTGGTAAGGGAAACAGCTTTTGGTAAGTAAAGGATCATGAGAATTCTGCCATCCTTAAATGGCAACTGATGTCCTTTAGTACTCAGTGGTATTACTGATTTTATGATGATTATTTACTGATTGTAAGAGTTACACCTTCTTAGCATATCCATGAAGATTCATGGGATTATGGATTATAATTAGATAGTTTTAGACAATATATACATACTTTTGGTTCTTTTTTATCCTGGATCTTAGCAAAGCATGTTTACATTTTGCACTTGTGAATTGGATTTACTTTTGACGGAGTGGAGGGAACTGGCTTTATGACATCATTACCCAACAAGATTAAATCTCAATTCAGTATCAGTGCTATAAAGGAACCCTGTGGTTGGTGTGTTTCCTTGCTCATGTCTAGTTTATATTGTTAGCTGAAGTAGGATGGTCTTTCTTATATACTGTACTGCATAGAAACTCGATTATTGAGCTCATAAAGTCTTGTAAAGGATATGTATTGTCTTGGTGTCTTTCTGCAGCATGTTTATGTTATGGATGCTATCTTGGTGTTCAACTCTTCTTATCATCATGAAGCAGGTATCTCTGCCCATCCGTTCCATTTTGGAAGTATCGAAAACCATGCCAAGCATTGTTTTGAGGTGTTCAGTTGTAGGCTGGGAATGTAGGCAGTATTTTTACATACAGAAAAAAATTTCCATATTTTTCTTAAATAGTCACCCCCTTTGTTCTTCCTTAAATTTGTCTCTAATAGTTTGGTGA